TACATGCATATTAATAAAATACATAATAAAATTAAACCAAAAACTTTTTTAGTTTCTTTTAATATCTCTATAATATCTATATTATTTAACCCGATCTAACCTATTAAAATTGAGTAATGTTGATAATATAGATGGTGATAATTATTAAAAAACTAAATAAATAGATAATTTGGAGTTTTTTTTTTAATGATGGATATCCACCAATACAATAAACAAATTTCTATCCTCCCTAATATATGCATTTTAGGTGTATGATCCAGTTCTATGATTAAAGATAAAAAAAACAAATAGAAGAAGTTGTAACAAAAGCTTTGATGGTGTCCTGGAGTTGAAGTTTTTAGGCAAAACAAAGACTCGAAGCACTGTTAATGTAGTTATGTGTCTAGCTCACAGGTCAAGAGTGCGCAATCTAGTTATGAGTGGAGATATTTAATAATATATTAAAAATAAATTAGGTAATAATAATAATTAAAATAAAAAAATATTATTTTAATTAAAATTAGATTAACATATAAAACGCATAACTTAAGATATGAAACCTTAATAAAATATCTAAGTTAACCTAATCTAAATTTTTAAATTTATTATTTGAAAGGTTAACAAAAATTCAATCAATAAAATATTAAAAAATAAAATAAAAAAAATTAATAAAAAAATTAAAAATAAAAAAAATAGAAATGATAAAAATAAAAACTAAATCTAATATAAAATTAAATAAACTAAAATATTAGGAGTTGAAATTAAAAATATAATTTAATTAATAAAATAATTTTTTAAAAAATAAAAACTAGATATGAAAGGTGAAAAAACTAAAGGATGAATAAATTGAAAAAAAATTGCAATTCTATAGATAATTTAAAATAAAAAAATAAAAAAAAATAAACTAAATTTAAAAAAAAAAATTAAAAGACTACTTTAAAAATGTGCTAGGCTGCCTTTGAAATTGAAAAAAAAAAGAAAAAAAAAGACCAATAGTGTAAAACCAATATTTTTTTGCTACACATACTACCTAAAATTATAAGCAATATTATTAGGATTAAAATGTCATCATAAAAACTAGAATTTGATCATCATAAAAAGTTGTATATGATATTTACAAACCATAAAAAACTCACATGCATCCGTATAATTCTACATGCAACAACGTTTTACATGATAAATAATAATTTATTTATACAAAAATATTAAACTAATACTATTTAAACTTGATATAGATATACATACATGCATATGTGTGTGTGTTAGAAAGACAAAAACATGGACAATTTCAATGTTAAGGTATTGGGGTAATTTTATTATGCAACTAAAACAAAAAAGTCAAAAGTATCCTTCCTACCAGTGTTTAAAATTTTATCTCTGAAAATATATTAATAATTTTACTGTACAAATAACAACAAAAAAAAACTATTATACCCACTTTCCAAGAACAATAATGTTATACTACAAGTGCAAAATCTTTATTTCATAATTTTAATTCATAATGAAAATGAGTTTACATGCATATTAATAAAATACATAATAAAATTAAACCAAAAACTTTTTTAGTTTCTTTTAATATCTCTATAATATCTATATTATTTAACCCCTAAATAAATAGATAATTTGGAGTTTTTTTTTTAATGATGGATATCCACCAATACAATAAACAAATTTCTATCCTCCCTAATATATGCATTTTAGGTGTATGATCCAGTTCTATGATTAAAGATAAAAAAACAAATAGAAGAAGTTGTAACAAAAGCTTTGATGGTGTCCTGGAGTTGAAGTTTCTAGGCAAAACAAAGACTCAAAGCACTGTTAATGTAGTTATGTGTCTAGCTCACAGGTCAAGAGTGCGCAACCTAGTTATGAGTGGAGATAGTGATGAAAAAAGCATAGTTTTTAAACTCGGCCTGGTGGCTGACCCGGTTCAAGGCTCGGGTTCCGGGTTTTGACCGGGTTGAACGGGTTGGCCGGGTCAATTTCTATTTTAAAAAAATTCAAAACGACGTCGTTTTAATAAAAAAATAAATAAAAGTCAACGGGTTACCACCGGGTTTTTCCGGGTCGTCCGGGTTTCCGGGTCAACCCGCCGGGTCGGCCGGGTCGTGGCTTACCTGATTTTTTCATCAACCCGGCCCGATTCCAGCCCCGGGTCGACCGGGTACCGGGTCAACCCACCGGGCCGGGCCGGGTTTTAAAACGATGGAAAAAAGTGAAGAAAGTTTACCGGCAATGCATGTAAATCAATGGTGGTGTGCCCTCCTGATTCAAAAGTATGATAGTGAGGAGGGCATTAAACATTTGTATGAGATTGCTTCATGACATTTATGATCATCATTCAATGATGATGGTCATACATACATACATACATATAGCATAGATTTCTTCAAGGAACCATACCACACAATTGATGGGCTTGGAAGATAACCTGTGCGCTTACTCGTTTCCATTCGAGGTTGATTATAATAGATTATTAATTAACATAAACAAAAACATGCAAGTAAAGTAAAGTATTGTACCTTTTCTTATAAAATGCTTTATTTATAAAATATTATAGATTGTTATAGAATTTTTTTATTAGTTTTTTTCTTTTCTTTTTTCTTGAATATATAATTTTTATTTTATTTTCTTATCTTTTGTTATAATTTCTTTAAATAATTTTTTATTAATTTTTGTTTTTTTTATGAAGTTAACATAACTTGCAAGTTTGTCAATGTAAGCTTTAGTTTATGGGTTTAATATGGTTTTTTTTAATTAAACCTAGTTTTTTTTAGTATATTTTTTCTCATATAGTTAAAAAACTAGTTTTAAAGAAATATTATTTCATTAAATTTTATAAAGTAACAAATATTAAAAGACGTAGGGAAATCACTATTCATCCATACTTATTACACTGTGGATTACAATAATAATCTCTAATGTTTTGCTTCTTCTTTTTTTCCTTTTTTTTTTGAATTTTTTTGTTATGATTTTTTTTCAAATCTATTTTTTTATTTTATTTTTTTAAATTAAGATTGTTGAGAATTTAGCTTCGCAGTTTATTTTTTTTATTTTTCCTTTATATAAGGTTAGCATAGTTTATAAGTTTGTCAAGATAACTTAGATTGCCCTGGTTTACGAGTTTGGTAGGTTGTCTCTGTTTTTTTAATTAAACTTGACTTTTTTATAATATATTTTTTCTCATAAAATTCAAAAAAATAGTCATAAAGAAAAATCATGTTATTAAATTTTATAAAGTAACAAAAATTAAAGGGTGTTAAAAAACCATTGTTCATCCATATACATTGCATTGTGAAAAACAATAGTAATCCACAATGTTTTGCTTTCTTTCTTTCTTTCTTTTTGTTTTTGTTATGATTTTTTTTTTCAAATTTGCTTTTATCAATTTCATCTTTTAATGTTAGGATGATTGAAAATTTAACTTTATCATTTGTTTCATTTTATTTTATCTTTCAATAAATTTAACATGATTTGCGAGTTTGCTATGGTAACCCGGGTTATCCTGGTTTACGAGTTTGATAGTTTTTTTTTTAATTGAACTTGACTTTTTAATCATCTATTTTTTCTCATATAGTTAAAAAATAGTTTCAAAAAAAAGTTATGTTTTACTTGGTTCACGGATCTAACAATTTTAACTTTTTTTAATTAGTTTTTTAAAATTTATTTCATCCTTAGATATTGGGTTATTTGAGAATTTAGTTTCATCGTTTTACCTTTTATGAGGTTATTGCAATATGAAAAAAAATCTCAGTATTAGATTGATATTTGATTTTGTAATTATTTATTTTTATTATCGTATAGTTAACTAAAAATAGTTCAAAAAAATTATAATCCCAATGAGTTAATAACCCTCACAAATTTGATATATTAACTTGACTTATCCAATTCATAAGTTTGACGAGTTTATCCACCGATAAGATATGTTTTTATTTTTATTTTTGGTCTTTTAATTTTTTTTAATTTATTCTTTTTTAATTTCATCATTTAATATTAGATTAGTAGAGAAATAGAATGCATCGTGGATTTTTATTTGTTTTCTATTGGGATAATTGTGTCAAATAAGTGTTTATTTTTAGGTTGATGTTTAATTTTATGAGCATTTATTTTTATTATATAACTAAATAAAAAAAGCTTTTAAAAAAGTTATTAAACCCAATACAATCCATA